TTCTGCAGTTGCCATAGAGACCTTTGTGGCTGAATGCGACTGCTGCTTTCTGTCTCCTATTCCTTCCTGAGAAGGAGCTGGTGACACACACGCACCACAGCACATACACATCATAGTGGAATCCTACACCTCGTGCATTTTTATAGAAACACACAGAGGAAGCACAAAGAGCACCAGCCGAGACTCACAACTCATCAGTTTTTGGATCTACTGGACTGTGGTCCATGCATGTATCAAGGTAAAATATATTACTGTATACAAGACAATTTATGTGTTATTAGCTTACAACTGTAGGAATCACCAGAACAGGTGGGGATTTCTTAAAACACACATGCAGAATGGTGAGAATAGCTGCTATGACAAATCCTATCCTTTGATTTGAATGTTGAAGAGATCAGATTGTTAAGTTTACGTGGTGATCCTAGCTGTACAGGACAGCTCGGGCATCTTCCTTAAAGGTATTGCAGGAAAAAAAGATAATGCTTGTCAACCAAGTTTAATTCTCTGTGACTAATCTTAAAGATGCTGCCCAAGTGCTAACGTTTTTAGCAGCTGTGTGGTACAGATACACCTTTCTATTTTTGCCTCTTTTAATCTGTCACATAATTCACACTTCTTGGTTGTGCAGTTCATTTTGGCATGCCAAGCTTAATTACTTGTATGTGCTTCTTTTTTTCATTCTAGATTTATTTATTTTTTTTCATTCTTTTGCAGAAAACACTCATCTTACTCACAATGTTGAGGAAATATTTCCTTACATTGCCAGTATATTGTAATTTGCTTTGCATCCATTGGCAGGTTTTATGTTGGTGTCACTTTGAATTTTTTGTGCTGTTTTGTTTCTCTAAAAATATAATTCAACAAAATAAGTGCTCCAAAACGTTACAGAGATTTTGTGATGTTAAGTTCCTGATATTTTTTTTTTATCTCTTAAGTATAGTAATTATGACTGTTACAAATTTCATTTTAAGTGTTGCTGACTGTTCTGTCAGCTTTGTGCTGTTCACAGTACAGTAGTGTACATTGATAGTTATAATAATATACAAAGAAAGAGGTGTGATCTCCAATTCACTGCCTCAAAGTTTTTCTTTTCCACTGTCACCAAGTGTTTCTTCATGGTGGGATTTGTTAGGTGTCTGTAATCAATATTATAAAGAATATGGTCTAGACTTGCTCTATGTGAAAAGTGCCTTGAGATAACTTCTGTTGTGATTTGGCACTATATAAATAAAAACTGACCTGACTTAACTAAATTAGTTTTGATAGCTTCAAATACGCTCTTCTACTGTCTTTTAGTTTCAGCTAATCAAAATGAACAGCGGCATGTAATTGGACAAGTTAGTCGAACTCACGTGTGTGGTGAATGCTGGTACTAACCCTCAGCCAATTTGTGACAATTTGTGTCTTTGTCAGTAGCAGTTCATTTTCAGAGGCATCAATTATTGTTACATAGCAACAACATGGCACTTCCTTAGGCATAGAGATTGAATGAAAAAAAGGGTGTGACAAAGGCTTATGCATGATTAACAAATTTTACCTCAAAATAGACCTGGCCTAACATCTGTTTTGGCAGTCAGACATTTATCATTTTTACCTTAGAAGGCATTTAATAGTCTTTACTGTTGAGGCATTATACATCATCAATTAGCCTAATGGGTGCAGGAATTTGCATTTTCACACCTTGAGGATTTAAAACAGTTGCAGCTGTGGCAAACAAGGTGACAAAGCAGTCTGCAGTGGGAACTGAGCTGGGCTTTGAAATGAGGCACCTTGCTGTAAAACAAAGCTGTAATTTAAAATTATGGGTCGAGAGGGTTTAAAAGACCCTGTTCAAATTTCCCACCGTCACCTCACTTTCAAATCATAGGGGTGGCTGAACCAGCTAGTTTGTTGTTCACATTTATGAGATTTATCTTGTTGCACATAGTGAGCGGAAAGTCGGGAAAAGGGGTTACTGACAGAAGGCAGATCAATGAATGCAGGAAAAAGTTTGAGTGAATGAAGAGAACATTGAAAGAGAAAGAAAAATGTGGAATCATGTCTGTAATGACAACAATTTCTATGTTAACTTACAGCATATCAGCATACCATGCGGCATATAGTAATGCATCACAGATAAAGGAATTTCCAACAGTGAGATCAATTCTACTAGTACTACATATGTATGTGTTGGCGTTCAAGTGAATGTGTGTTTGTGTGTATGTGTGTGTGAGTGTGTGTGTGAGAGGGAGAGAGAGAGAGAGAGACAGAGAGAGGGATATGAAGAGGAAAGAGGGAGAAAGCAAGGACATAAATGTGTATATCAGAGAGAGACAGGACGAGATGGAAAGAGTGTGCATAGTTATGTGTAAATGGTAGCTGTAGGCATGTGTGAATAAGGGGAGATGCATTGCATTGTGCTCTGTAGTGTTTGGGGAGGAGAGGGGATTGAGGTTGGAGACTTGAGATAGACTGGGGATCAACTCATTCAGAGCTTCAAATGGCTTTGAGAAAACCAATCAAACCAGCATACACTCTGTACATCTCGCTTGCACACGCTTTCTCGGTCTGGCATACACATGCACTCAGTTGTACACACGCTGCACAAAATCTTCAGTGGGGTGGAATTCAGTGCACTATTGATCTGCTTCCATGTGGTAACATGCACACATTCATGCACATACTTACACACCGTGATTTCTGGTTTGAAATCTCATCTGTCTGGCTCATAGTGAGATGACTGATATGTAACTGTCAGTAAGCCACTTAAATAGCTAATGCATCAACACACACACACACACACACACACACACAAATAGGGATGGGTTCAGAGGAGTGCATTCAGGGGTAGTGAGAGTGACAGGCACACACTCACACCTCCCCCAGAATTACCATTTATGCAGCCTTAAAGCAAGTGACTCACAGTTAAACCCATGCCAACACTCACTGTGTTGGCATGGGTTTAACTTGCCAGACTCCAGCCATGCACAAAAGGCTGTGTGTAGACTGGTAGCAGCAAAGAATTTATTATTTAGTACAAGTACAAGGGTCTACATTGGGGTATTCCAAGTCCAATTTGAATAATAATATGTTCATGAGTTTTAGTGCTTATCGCATGACTGTACAGCAGTTTATAACACCATAAGACTGGATTTTACAACTCTGAAAAGACACCTCTCTGTCCAAAATTTCAGTGTTAATAGTACAATTATACAACTTGCATTGCAGAGTAATTTCAGCATTTAAGCCTTTCTTGGAGCCCTCTGTGTCATGATCTCCGCTGTACCACACAGTGGTCTCAAATTTCTGTTAAATCTATGTATAGGTTAAGTTTTTATCATCTCTATGTGAGATCTGCTGTAAGTTTGAGAAGTCTGAGACAAAATATTGTTAAAGGAGAAGTACAGCTCCTTTCAGGAATAGCTCAGTACACGGTTGTGTGCCTAGTGTGTGAGAGAGAAAGAGAACGCATGAGAGAGAGCCAGAGAGAGAGACGGGGAGAAAGAGAGCAGTGATGCTGGCGACTGGAGCAGAGAGTTAACTAGTTAGTTAGAAATCAGTGTAGTATATGAGCACAACCAATCCAAGCTGCAAAGAATGCTCCAGTGACACTTAAAGCAACCTCTAGACTTTGACAGTAGCATGGGCACATAGGCCATGTTGGCCGTAGGGTGTACAATTGTTTTCAAGGCATCACAGCCAGAGGCAGGGGCAACAATGGCCATGGCAGTCGAGGCCACTGTGAAATTCCTACCCTGCTCTCCAGACATGTTTTAACTATGTAAAAACCTCTGCTATGGAAGCAGATCTATGAAAACTTAATCAGTGACAATTCCTGGATCAGGCCTTATTCTCTGCCCACCCCTGCTGGTTGTGCTAGGTTGACACGTGAAAGAGCAGAAAGTATCAAGATGGTTAGTGGAGGAAACATCGGAGAGCCTCATGGTTCAGCCATGGTCAGGCCCAGACTCAGGATTATTTTGAGGAGTGAGGAGTTTGTTGTGCACCAAAATTGATGACTAGAAGACACATTACAATGGTAAGTGTGGTTATTTGTTTATGTTGTTTGTTAGTTTGCCAAACTCTTGCTCTCTTTACTGACAAGGTTTCGGGTTTATTTTGCCATCTCCCATCCCCGCAAAGTTGACAGGATTGGTTCTTGAGGTATGTGATGTATGAAGCTGTTTTTATGACACTGTCATTGGTTCACTGCAATTCAAGGTGGAAATACGGACTAATGGCGTTGACTGCTTATATCACTCATGATATGTCTTCTATTATATTAAAAAACACCATGAAGACATGTTAACTAGGTTAAAAACTTGATTTCCATTGGAAATGGTCTTAAAATGGGAACATGTCATTTTTGAACAAATCAGCTCATTTGGGAATCAAGAATATATTTCAGGAAGGAATTTCACAAATATCTTTGTTTTTCAAAAACATCTTTGTTAGACAGTTTGTAACCCAGTTTCAGGAGGAGTGCTTCAAGTCCTCCACACAGACTCCTGCACCAACACAGCGGATGGGATTTTAGGTCTTTAATGCTTTCAACCAGTCTCACTCTGTCTCACGCCTTTCTTTCCTGTCAATCACATCTATGTTAATGATGACACTTTATTTTAACTGTCACACAGCTGTCTTTCAGCCCTAAGCTGTTTCCCTGACCTGCAGCTGACAATGCTTCACTTCCTTCACAACAAGCTGGCTTCAGTCCCAGAGCAATTTGTTGTTCACATTGAAATACTGTCCCAATACTGTTTGGTGGTTTTAAAAGGTTAATGTCATACATTTAAAAAGGATATTATGGTTTTAAGATTTTTAATACCCCCATCATTCCCGCACTAATGACCAGTCAGTTAGTCATAGTTGTTTGATCTTCAATATCTCTGAAGTAAAGTTACACACCTTAACATCAGTTCCAAACTTTCATAGGAGCCTCCCAGCAGAACACCAGCTCTTTCTCTTTCTCCCTCTCTCCCTCTGTCTCAGACGCACTTTGTTTTACTTTATCTTGTCAGGAGCTTCAGTTTGAACGCCTGACCAGGGAACTTGAGGCTGAGCGTCAGATTGTTGCCACCCAGCTGGAGAGATGCAAACTGGGATCAGAGGCAGGCAGCATGAGCAGCATCAGGTAACATGCAAACCCTATTTCTCTTTCTCTTTCTCTCTCTCTCTCTCTCTCTCTTTCTCTCTCTCTCTCTCTCTATTTTTGTAAACTTAGAGCATGATGGAAGAGGTTCTGTGTCCTTCATGACACTAACACTCACTGCACCATTATACACTTTCACCCTACACACGCACGTACGAACACAAACACTATGGCATACACACCCAGGGTGTTTTCTCTTCAGATCTGTGGAGTGATGTTAGTGGAAAAGAACAATGTTCCCCCTGCTGTGGAGTGCATTTATCAGCAGGATGGATTGGGACAACACTGAGGTTGCAGACAAAAACACACACCCAGATAAATGCACACACACAAACACACACACACACACACACACACACACACACACACACACACACACACACACACACACACACACACACACACACACACACACACACACACACACACACACACACACACACACACACACACACACACACACACACAAAAAAACTACACACATTGATGGTGCTACATGGTTTAACACACATACTATACAGAGAGATGCATGACACAACAACATTATGAGTATGATGACACACTTCACAAATACACAAATGTGCACACTTTCTCATGCTGCACTGATACACACACGCCATGACATTCGTTGAGGGCTTGATATCACAAATACAGTGACACAACCATTGGCGGCATTTGTAAGAGTGTGACAATGCACGCCTCCACCCACACATATACTGTACATGGTCACAAAATGTCCTCATAGAGACTTTGCTTTGCAAGAGAAACCTAGGTCAAGCCATATCACACTTCCTGGACCCCTTTTCTCATATTACAGCATTAATTAGCATATTAGCCACAGCCCTGAAACCCTTCAAAATACTTCAATATGTTCCCCAATTATTAAATCTGACCTTTCTGCAGGTAAAACTATTTTCAGATGAGGGAAAGAGAGCCCTTAACAGAAACAGGGAGTAAAGATGAAGGAGAGACGTCTGTGACTAGCATGCAAATTTTAAATTTTATGCTAACACCTCAAACCTTGAACTTAATAACTTCCCCTGTCCTGTTACTAAATGACTGTTCCCTCACATTTTCTTTCAAAGTGTGCATTTACATGCACACTTATACACTTTTTGGAGTATCCTGGTTATGTTTTGCGCATGTAAACAGCTTATACCAGTTTAGTCTATATATATATATATAGACTAAATACTTTGCCTCCTTTGAATAAAAATCCAGAGTGAAAGTAAAATTTGGTTAAAAGTTGGCCGAAAGTATTTACTCTGTAAATTTTGTGTGTGTGTGTGTGTGTGTGTGTGTGTGTGTGTAGTTTATGTCGCTCGCTGTGGATGTGTGTCCAGGTGGTGTCTGTGATGATATAGATTGTGTGTTCGTGATGGTGCGTCAATGTTTCTACAGCGCGTTGCATAGTATATTTGGAGTCGTACCAGCATCCCTCTAACTCCCTCGGGCAGCTGCATTAACTGTGGTATGTTTTTGTTGTTAATAATCCTTGGGCAAATTCCACTACGAGACACAGATATGCTAACAAATAACACAGAATATCTGAATAAATTAACTGTCTTTTATCTTTCACTTACTTATAGTTTTGCAGAAAAATACATGAGACCCATACATTAAATGTTTCCTATTGTCACCTTAATCATACTTGCCATAGTGAGCCATATGTAATTATTTGATTTTTTAAGTGCCCTATTGAGAGTTTCCATTTATGATGGTGTCTGCTATTTCAGATACCTAGACAGGCTATTTAAAAATGGCTTAAATACCAATAAGACTGTTTAATTCTTATCACCCACTGTGTTTTAAGTTAATACATGTAGCTTAAGATAAATTTGTTCTTAGTTGGGTTTGTTAGCTCTAGAAAACCAAGCACTTAATCTAAGATGATTTTGGACAAGCAAGTCAATATTTTTGTATGAGACAGGTAAGAAAGCAAAGAACCAAGAGTCATCCGTCTAGATTGATTGTCTATTTTTTTCAGCTAGTTTTCACTCTCAGACGAACTTGAGCTCCCACTTGAACCCAACATATAGCCTGTAACTTTCAAATATATATTTGTGTATATTTACTTTACTGGAAAGTTCATCAGAATTCTCCATTTGCTATTTCCTGCAACACTTTAGTGAGAATATCTGCTTGTGCATGTATCTGTGCCAGCAATAGTGTGTCTGCTGTCAAGTCTACTGTCTCACAGTTGCATCATCTTATGATTATCACATCAGATAGAGAGGATTGGCTTAGCTAAGCGTTTGTCTGCTGACAGCTCACTATATGGCACCGAGTCCACATCCATCCTTGTGTGTGCTCCGATTTGTCAATGCATGTCAACTGAAATGTGTGATGTGCATGTGTCTTTCTTTTCGTGCTAATGCGTACACACACGTGACAACTCACCTCTGAGTATACCTTCTTATTTTTATTTTAACCATTTTGATTGACATAATCTTTTATGTAGATTCTACCTTGTGCTTCTTTTCTTTTCTTTTTTTTTGATCCAAGCCTAAGTATAGATGTTACAGTCTGCAATATAACTGTGAATGATCAGAGAGAGTCTGATGCTATTCAAAGAGACAGCACTAACCTTTCCCATGGTCTCCAGCATCACCACTCATTTTCCTCTCCTTCATCAGGGTGTCAGTGACAGGCAGCAGCTAAATATAGAGTGTAGTGGCTGGCTTTGATTGAAAAGGTGTTATAATAGAGCACAGGGTAGAAATGAAGGAAAGCACATGACATAGCTGGATTGGAGGGAAAAAAAGAGAGTCAAATAGAAAAATAATAGGAGTCTTATATATTCTATGTAGCATTTTTGTCATTTCATGAAAAACATACTCTTACATTATCCTTCTAAAGTTATGCTTATCTATATTCTATATTCTATATCTATATTCTCTATATTCTCTATATTCCTCCTTTCATGCCAATCTATATTCTCACAGACACAGTTTCCTGTGGGTGTAAAGCTGCAGCCACCATGTTAAGTCAGCAGTGGGTCCATTACTATGTTAGAAGCCTGTCAGTGTGAGAGTGAACTTAAGCACACATGCTACCTGGTACCCTGAATTTTTCCATTTTTGTCTGTGTGTTATTACTCCAAATGTGTGCAACTTTGTGCCCCCTCTGTTTGTGGGTTTGTATTGCACATGCTTGGAGTGAATGCTGTGTTTGTGTTTGCCTGTCTGTGTGTGTTCTTGGCAGCCGCTGCGAGCCTGCATGTCCTTAGTTGAGTTCCGCTAGATAAAGCAATTCAGGCATCTCCATGGACTCCTCCTCAGAGCTGAGGACCCTAAAAAATGCCTGACTGTGGTGCAGAAACCCAGGGCATTACTGACTAACATCTGTTCACGCTGTGAAATATTGGCATGCGACACAACACTTTACAAGAAAGGAAACACACACACACATACACACACACACACACACTCACCCACATGCAAAGACGTATACTCCAAACGCCATGCCGAGGTCAATTTATCATTTTTCTAACATTAGTGGTAAGTGGCAGCCAGTGGGAAACGTTTGCTCCTGCTGTCTTTTCTGCGTGACTGGCTGTGCAGCTCAAGCTTTCAGTGCTCCTCTAAAGGGCTATACCACTGAATTTATGGTTGATGGATTTCAATTTGTTTAATCTATTTTCGCCATTACAAAGATGCCAAAACAACGTGAGTAATAGAACCCGAAATCACATGAAGATGAGAATAGGATATGACACTGTGTTTCTTGCAAGTGAAGATAATTTCAGCACGAGCTGAGTATGTAGAGGAAGTGATTTCAATACAATAATTCATTGTGACGTGTCATTTACCTGTGATGTAGTATGCTGTAGATGGATTAAGAGTCCGTCAAGACTGGGAGAAGTGAACATATGGAGATAACAAGTTGTTGAGTAGATTTTAAATTGCATAGAAGCAAAGGTAAAATTTTAAACAAGCTTTAATGTCAACAGTGGCAATTATTGTTATACTTAAAGTTCCAGATGTTCAATTTTTAGGGTCAGAAAGCAGTTGAACTGGTAACAAATGGGTTATAACATAATATAATGTAGATGTATTCAGCTATAAGATTTTTATTTTTATTTTAAGTGTTTATCATTTGCAATGTTGGTCTGAGCTCTACCTCATGAGCTGGACCACCAATATGTTGGATTTCGGTTGTTTATAATTTATTGGCTATCATAAATTAAGAAAATATAATATTAAAAATATTAATATTAAATAATTAACTTTAAAATTAATTAAAGTTCACAGGGCACCAGCCTAAACTAATAGGCAAAATAGCCAATATTGGTTTTAGTCTCAATTTTTACCATTAATCTGGAACTCTGATTAACCATTAGCTTACTAACTATAACCAAACTACCAAATCAACAGTAAGTTAAAGTTGAAGGATTGGAATTCTACCAAGTAGAGGTTGGCAATATTCACGCTTGTGCAACATTAAACACACCAGTAGTTATACTTAAAGGCATTTATTTACAATGACAGAGTAAAAACAAATGTCTGATTAGTATATACAGGGTGTGTTATGTGTGTGTGTGTTTGTGGGACACAAACAAAGGCAGATGGCCGATTCAAAAGTGGTCACTGTGACCACATGACCTGAACAAAGAAGACTACACAAGATGGCGGTAAACAAAGAACTACTCAAAATGGCCGCTGGACCACCAGGGGTGTGTGAGAGGGAAGGTGGTGAGTTTCTTTGTTAGCCTAGCTCATGTAATCTAAAAGGTACCAGGTTAGAGGGGGTGGTTTAGCTTCATGCAGGTTCTAGAACTGAGACGTACTGCTATGTGTGTGAACATACTAGACCTGATTAACTGTATACTGACCACATATTCAAGCAATACATTACAACAACAAGACATCAATCAACAGGTACATTAACAAAGTTAAGACTTCTGTTGCTTAGTTATGCTGTGCTGTGCTATGCTGTGAAAGGTTAGGCCCAGTCAGTTAACGTTACCCAGTCCTGGAAAC